TCAGCTTCAAATTATGACCTCTTGTTTCTGTGTCCCCTCTCTGGAACATCCTGTCTTTGTCCACCTTGTCTTGTGAGGGAAAAGTTCAATAGATAGGAGTAGCGAGGGAGCATATAGTAACAATAGTTTCATTGCCGGCTACTTGTTAAGGTAGGGTAAGTCAAGCTCCTGCTATTCCCGCCTTTTTTCCCCCTCCCCGAAAGTGATAGTTTCGTTGCTGGCTACTTGTTAAGGTAGGGTAAGTCAAGCTCCCGCTATTCCCGCCTTTTTTCCCCCTCCCCAAAAGTGATAGTTTGACTGCCGGCTGCTTGTTAAGGTAGGGTCAGTCTAGCTCCCGCTATCCCTTCCCCTCCTTCTTCCCCCCCCCCGAAAGGTGACGTGTGGGGCTCCGGTCCAAACAGTAATCACTAGACTCACAGCTCCCAGCACTACTGTAAGTAGATTCCTGCCTTGTATTCTTAGTCCTTTCAGTTTTGCTCTAAGTTGACAGTTGTAATAATCACCACATCTTTTAGGTACTGTACTTATCATGGAGAGTGATTATTTAAGCAGTGGGTAACCTGTCTATCTTTCCAGCTTGGATGACAGAGAGGGTCACCTGCCAATCAACGAGAAGAACTGATGGTGATGGACTAACTTCCTGAGACTTCCCCTTTTTGGATTTAATTACCTGTGCACCTGTATGAAATTGCAGGACGTAACCCCTCATCATTACAGCGGTAAAGAACCTGCTTTCCTGTCATCGGGATAGAATACTCAAGGCTATACTGTGAAGAACTAGCCAGTGGGTTGTAACCAACACCTGCAACCCCCCCCCCATCATCAGCAACGGCTACGATTTCAACAAGCAGTGTCACCAACACCATTCACCTAAGTTTTATATTAGCGTTGAATCCAGTTATTATTTATATTTTTCATTTTTCTTTTCTTTAATGTAGGATTAATATTTCATATTTAAGTGTTTTATATTTTATATTTTCTTTATAATAAAGTGTTTATGTTTGTCTGTTATTATTTCTTTTTCTATTCATTAATTTTCCTGAGGAGGAGCCAGCCTGGGTAATACTGTCTGAAGTTATTACAGGGCTGAGTAAGCCTTCACATGTCTATTCCGCGCAGTATTTTATATGCCGTTATAATGTCTCCCCTGACCCTCCTGTCCTCCAGTGTCGTCAGGTTTGTGTGTGTGTGTGTGTGTGTGTGTGTGTGTGTGTGTGTGTGTGTGTGTGTGTGTGTGTGTGTGTGTGTGTGTGTGTGTGTGTGTGTGTGTGAACTAATTAATGTTTGCATTAATAACTCATTACAATTGTGACCAGACATAACATAAACAGTTCATTACGTTTGGCTGTAGCTTATCAAAACTTGTGACTCCACCCTGGACCCTAGTACTTAATCTTGACTGCCACTCACAGGATGTATGGATCATATAAACAATTAAACCAAGCGAGTTAATGATGAGTATCCTTGTATCTGACTACTTGGACATTTGCATTTGTGGTGACAGTGGCCCATGCAATCTCCCTTATGGTAGCAGATGCTCAGTGGCTTACGTACTGGCCAGAGTTTCATGACTCACTGCTACATTGTTACTTGTACAGTGTTATTACGATTTCGTGATCTAATATTTTGGCGTTAGTAGCAGCATGGACTTGTGTTTGATGGTGGCAGTCTTTTCAATGAAGTTGTGAATTGTTGATGATATATGTTGAAAAAGAGAAGAATATCATGTGCATAACTTGAAGTCTCCTCGTGTCGTGGTTGCAGTCTTTACATTGTACTGGTGAAATATCCTGGAGTGTTTGTGTACTGACTTTGATTACCTTGGAAAGATGATCATCCAGTTGTATGATAGAATGTGAATATGTTGGTCACATTGTTGAGACATTGATATACCTTGGTGGATGGTACCATCGGTTGAAATATACCTTGGTGGTATGGTACCATCGGTTGAAATATACCTTGGTGGTATGGTACCATCGGTTGAAATATACCTTGGTGGTATGGAACCATCAATTGTACCTTGATAGTATAGTGCCATCAGTCGTAACTTGATGGTATGGAACTATCAATTGTAACTTGGTGGTATGGTACCATCAGTTGTACCTCGGTGGTATAATACCATAAGTCGTAACTTGGTGGTATGGTACCATCAGTTGTACCTTGGTGGTATGGTACCATCAGTCGTAACTTGGTGGTACAGTACCATCAGTTGTAAATTGGTGGTACAGTACCATCAATTGTACCTTGGTGGTATGGTACCATAAGTTGAAACTTGGTGGTATGGTACCATCAATTGTAAATGGTGGTATGGTACCATCAATTGTACCTTGGTGGTATGGTACCATAAGTTGAAACTTGGTGGTATGGTACCATCAGTTGCACCTGGGTGGGATGGTACCATCAGTTGTAACTTGGTGGCATGGTACCATCAGTTGTACCTTGGTGGTATTGTACCATCAGTTGTACCATGGTGGTATGGTACCATCAGTTGTACCTTGGT